TCATTTTGGCAGCTCGTTGTCTTGCCATTTGGAGTCTGTACTTCACTTCTTTTTCATAAGAGTCAACATTATAAAGTGGATCTACAGTGTTAAAACCAATAGAATCAATGATATTTGGAATTTTGCCGAAAACCAATTCATACGGACAATAACCATGGATTGTTGATGGAGTAGTATTAAAACAGTATGTAAAATATTTAAGCCATTCGTCCCAATCCGTTCGTTCTAATGACACGTAAGAACGAATATATTCATTAAATGTCCTATGTGACCTTTCTATGGATCCAACTGTTTGATGGTGGTATGCTGTTGAGGGAGCATGTTTCACATCCAACATATTAAAAAGTTCCTGCAGGGTCTGGTTTTTATACTCAGTTCCTCTGTCAGTTAAAACTTTTCTCATTGGTCCATATGTAAGTACAAAGTTTTCAAATATTGCCGTAGCTATTGTTTTTGCCGTTTTATCGGGTACTGGTATAGTTACCAGGTACTTGGTGAGATCACATATTATTGTTACTGCGTATTCGTTACCACTGTTTGACTTAATAAATGGGCCTATTGTATCAATAACGAGAATATCAAAGGCACTTGCTGGGGTTTCCGTTATACACATAGGTTCTTTCGTCCTTTTAAGGGACTTGTTCTCTTGGCATTTACTGCAATTTTTAACATAGTTTTTGATGTCTTTAGACATTCCTTTCCAACGATATTTATTGCGGAGTTTTTCTGACATTCTTTTGATGCCAGGGTGACCTCCGTATAATGGGTCATTATGATACGTTTGTAGGAGTTTTCTTTTCTGCTCGTCAGCAGATATTTTCTCTAATTTTGGCGTTAACGCTATTGTTAGTTTCTTTAATAACTGGTTCGCACAGTTTTTGAAATCATTGATTCGAATCATATTGAATAAATCCTCATTTAATGAGAGTTGCAACTTGAATATTCCCTTATTACCGGTTATTTTTTCCAACCTAGGAATGAATTGACTTAGATCAAAGCTTCCATTAGTAATAAGGTCATCAATCTTTACATTTTCTAAAGTTTTTCTCCCGTATTTAAGGATACACTTTGGAGTTGTACCAGAGAGAAAAAACTTTAGGCGAACACTTTTCTTTACCTCCTTTGCATTTAGTGGTTCGTAGACCCTAGGAATGTCTGACACGCTTGTTAATTTTTTGTCTTTTTGTGTTTGGTCTTTCTTTGATTTAGACCGCGTTGTTACCATATAGAGTCTCTTTGTACTCTTAATATGGTCAAAATCAATTCTGGAAAGGGCATCGGCTCCACAATTGTCCTTTCCTTTTATGTATTGTATTTCGAAGTCATATTCTTCGAGGTCTAATCTCATCCGGGTTAATTTTGAAGATGGATTCTTCAAAGAGAACAAGTAGGTCAATGGGCGGTGATCACTTCTCACCAAAAATTTTGTACCATATATGTATGGTCTGAAGTATTTTATTGCCCAATGTACTGCTACGAGTTCTTGTTCAATTACGGATTTGTTGCTTTCACCTTTGGTAAAGGACCTTGATGCATATGCCACGGGTAATTGTACACCCTTATGCTCTTGGCTTAGAACAGCACCGCATGCATATTTACTTGCATCGGAAGTAATGCAAAATTGTTTATTGAAATCGGGGTACTGGAGTATTCTTGGGGTTAGAAGTGAATTCTTTAAATACTCAAAGCATTTTTGGCACTCTTCAGTCCAAATAAATTTTGCATTTTTCCTAGTTAGTTTTGTTAATGGCAGAGAGTATTCTGCAAAATTCGGTATAAATCTTCTGTAATAATTACAAAAGGCAACAAATCTTTTAGTTTCGTCCGCGCTTTTTGGGGTAGGATATGTTTGGATTGTCTCATATTTTGAGTTATCGGGAAGAATTCCCTTGTCAGTGCATTTATGACCCAAAAAGGTTACTTCATTTCTGAAAAATATACACTTATCAGGATGCAGCTTCAGATTATATTTTCTGCACGTCGTGAAGACATCCCGCAGATTTTGCATCATATGTTTCTCAGAGCATCCAATTACAATGAGATCATCCATATACAGGAATGCCTGTTCAGGCGTAAGACCAGAAAATGCTATTGACATCATTCTTTGGAAGGAGTTCGGCGCTACCTTGATTCCATAAGGGAGACGTTTAAAGCGAAATGATCCTTCATTCGTGGAGAATGAAGTTATATCCCTAGACTCCTCTTTTAATTCTATTTGATGAAATCCAGACATTAGATCCAGACAGGAAAAGTATTTTGCTCGACCTAGTTGGTCTAGAATATCCTCAATTCTTGGTAAGGGATATTTGTCCGCTATTAACCTTTTATTAATCTGTCTGTAGTCTACAACTAGTCGCCATCTCTTTGCAGAATTACCTGGAAGGGATTTCTTTGGTACTAATAATACCGGACTATTGTAACATGAAAATGATGGCTCTATAATATCATCTTGTATTAATTTGTCAACCTGAGTTTTGATTTCCTGTTTTTGAGTATGTGGAATTCTATAATTTTTTATATAAACAGGGGTATCATCCATTACTCGGAACTCTTGTTTATAAAAATTATTAGTTGACATTTTATCGGTTTCTAAAGCAAAAATGTCTGAGAATTCAGTACATAAGTCAGTTAAATCTTTTTTTGCTTGTTTGTTTTGTTTATTTTCTTAGACATAGATTTTCACATCGTTGGTGTATTTCTTCGAGAACTCGACAGGCATCCCACAATACAGCATTTGCGAATTTCTGGCATTATGGTATTTGTTTGTAAAAATTATCTGCAATATATGGAATATGAAGACGAACGCTTTCCTTTTCTCTACTTTTTCACTGTTCTTCCTTCGCCAATTTCATCCTTTCTTCTGCTTTTTTTGGATTAATTTCTTTTTGGATTAATTTCTTTCTCTTTGGATTAATTTCTTTCTCGATGAGAGGCAGGAGATTGCGAGAGTGAAAGTGCACAGCTCCTTTTTGTTATCTTTTAACTTTTCATTCATTACTGGTTTCTGCACATACGTGTATTCGGAAATCTCAAGACCCCGTTTGTTTATGTGGTGTTTCGATGATAGTTGTTGTTCACAATAGAGAATGTCAGAATCAGTCACATGCAGCTTTTGTTTTATTATGTCAATGTTTTTCTTTTTTTGTTTGTTGTATTAAAAAAATTATATTTTAACCTTGTATTGGTTTTTGCTTCCATTTTTAAGTTATTTTTTAAATGGCATATTACGATTTTTTGTGGATTTTTTAAAGTTGTTTATTTTGTGTTTGAATTTACTTTTTTTTTTCAATTTTTTATCTTGTTTCAACTAGCAAAAAAAATCGTTTTTTTTTTTTTCTTATTTTTTCCTTGTGTTGTTTTTAGGTTTTTTTTTCTCGTTGTTTTTTGAAGATTTTTTTATGTTTTGTTTATTTGAATTTCACATATAGTTGTTGTTGTTGTTAAATCCTTTTTCGATTGATACTTAAACAAGGATCATTAATCAAATCAATTGTTTCTTTGTCTTTTTTTTAGCAAACCCGAGGCATTTTCTTTCTTTTTTCTATTTATAATTTACGAGCTGGCACGGTCTGTGTTGCTGGTCCATAGTTTAAGCGTTTAATATATATAGATTATCCGAAATCACATTATACACGGTGCACCACTTTTGTAGATTTTAAAGTTTTTTTTTTTGTTTGGCAGGATCGCCATGAAATGAAATAAGTTTTATTTTATATTGGAAGCCGCTAAAAGCGACTTCACCTTGCTTTATTTAAATTAGAACTGAAATAATATTATCTTACAAAAATTAACTTAAGGTAAATGAAGAATAAAGTGAGCGTGGGAAAACGCTTAGTAAGCATAATGCACGCTTACTATCTCGGAGCAGTGCGGACAACATACCTCAATAAAGTGAGGGTGTAAAGTTACATACTGAATGTATTGTAACTTGAGTAAAGGCATACTATTAGTTGGATACAGAAGGTATGCCAACTTGGACAAATATGTAAACCAGTATGATACGTTGTCATACGGAAGGTATGGCAACATGGATGAATCAAACACACTACACCTCCCTTTTTAACAAAGAATAATCAACGGTTTAAGTTGATTATTCTTAGTTGAGTTTAATTCGTATAATTTTATAATTCATGAATTTTATTCACATAAATTTACAATTAACAGTCAGTGCTGGCATTATTTAAATTTAGTTATGGTTTATTTTAAAATTACGTTTAATGTTTACAAGTTACTCATATTTGTTTTTTTTTTTTTTTTGTATAAAGACTAATGCTTACATATATATTTAACTTTACTTATTTAATACGGTTACAATTTTTGTTCTATAATATATGTTGTAGTAAATAAAAATTATTACATGAGAATAACGATGACAAGGACAATTGTGGAGCCGATGCCCTTTCCAGAATTGATTTTGACCATATTAAGAGTACAAAGAGACTCTATATGGTAACAACGCGGTCTAAATCAAAGAAAGACCAAACACAAAAAGACAAAAAATTAACAAGCGTGTCAGACATTCCTAGGGTCTACGAACCACTAAATGCAAAGGAGGTAAAGAAAAGTGTTCGCCTAAAGTTTTTTCTCTCTGGTACAACTCCAAAGTGTATCCTTAAATACGGGAGAAAAACTTTAGAAAATGTAAAGATTGATGACCTTATTACTAATGGAAGCTTTGATCTAAGTCAATTCATTCCTAGGTTGGAAAAAATAACCGGTAATAAGGGAATATTCAAGTTGCAACTCTCATTAAATGAGGATTTATTCAATATGATTCGAATCAATGATTTCAAAAACTGTGCGAACCAGTTATTAAAGAAACTTTCACTTTGTAGTTATGAAAGACAGGGGGTTTTGTGAATAAAATTCATTGGCTTTGGATGGGTGTGTTCTATCTCCTCCCCTCACTCTCTTTTACTGCTCTGTGACATATCCCCAAGTTTATTTTTAATTCATCCATTCATTCCTGCATTTCACATGCCTCTCCTCTTTCATTACAGGTCTCTATGGTAATGATGATTTCCATAACGGCTTGCTGCAAGCATTCAGTTCCGGCAAGCAAGTAGAAGGACTTGTATTAAGTTTGAAACGACAGGTAAGTTTACATGCATGCTTAGCTAAGGCTTTAAAAATTAAATCTGCCAGGCAAGCTATTGCCATGGAAATTCGAATACATGCCACGCACACACACATGCACACATCCATATGTGCTGGTGTGGAGATTCCTCCTAACTATTCACTCGAACTCCCGCTACGCTAGTTATTTCCTTTATAATCATTAAACGCCAGACCATAACTAATGTAATATTCACAAAAAAAAAAAAAAAAACAAAAAGAGAAAAGAGACGATGTCTTCTACAAGGATCCGCAGCAACGGCAATAAGGATGTGTGTTAATACTTTACACTCACTTTTCTTTGCATAGATAAACAAGCAAAGTTCAGTATTTCCGCAAAAATCTTGGGTTTCCCGCTATGTGTGTGTGTGTGCTTGTCTCTTCCTATTTTTAGCTGATGAAAAAGTAGAAGTTTCTCTTTTAATGAATTCCGAACTTTACTATAAGGATGTTTGGTTATTATGGTGATTACAAAAATAGTCAACTTTTTGGGTACACAGTGAGGGTAAGAAGTGTAAAGCAAGATTTATTTCTTGAACTATCTTTGAACTTCAATACTTTCATCGAGTGGCCGAAAAAGGCTCCTAGCTGATCACCTACAATGTTTTTCTTCTGATCATCTAAAAGAGGCCATTTATCTCCCTAACACGTTTACAGACAAGCAGTGACCCTTTAGCTCGTCTTCAGAGAGCAATAACCCTTCAGCTCGTCTATGAAGCCAGGTTAACCCCATAGCTTGCCTGTAGAGATACAATGGCCCGTCAGCCCTCAAAACCTTCAGCTAGCCTGGAAAAATTATCAAAAGACTCACTGAGACGTTCAACTCTCTTTGCCGTTCAACTCTCTAAATGCTCTCCAAATTAAAGTATAGACTCTTTGTAAGTTGTGGGTCATTCAGGACGTCTACAGATTATTCAAGTTCTTTAATTTATCTAAAGGTCTCCTAAGGGTGTCTAAGGATTCTCTTAGGGTTCAACTAACCCATAAAGACTCTCTGTAGACCTTCGGGTCTTCTAGAGACACTCCGATCCGATCAGCCCCTCTAGAGACTATGGAAGCGGTCCAACTCCCCTAGAGACTCTCTGAGAGGTTTAGTTCCTCTCTAATCCACTCTAGATACAATCTGATTCTCGGATTCTCTAGTCACTCTCTTATCGACCCTCTGCGTCATTCAGGTCGTCCATAGATTATCTGAGTTCCTTAATTCGCCTTAGGTTACATGAGTCATTCAGCTTGTTTAAGGTTTCCCTGAGGGTTCAGCTCGCCCATAAAGATTCTCTGGGATTTTGAGCACGCCGATAGCGATTTTGTAGGCATTCGGCTCTTTTAGAGACACTGCGAACCGATCAGCCCTTCTGGAGACTAGCGGTCCAACTGCCCAAGAGACTCCTTGAGGGGTCCAACTCCCCATGAGACTCTTCGAACCGTTAAGCATCTCTAGAGATTATCTTAGCGGTAAAGCTTTTGTAGTGACTCTCGTAGCGGTTCAGCTACTTTAGAGATTTTTTGAGCCTTCCGGCTCCAGTAGAGGCTTTCAGAGTCGCCCAGTTCCTCTGTATAATTTCTGAGCTGCTCAGCAGCTATGGTGACTCTCTAGAGTCGCCCGGCTCCTCTAGAGATTTTCTGAGCCGTTCAGCTATTCTAGAGACTCTCTGAGTCGTCCACTTCTTCAAAAGACCCTCAGAGCCACTCAGCTTGTGTGGAGACTCTATAGAAACTATCTAAGTCGTTCAGCAGCCCTAGAGACTCTATGAGCCATTCACCTTCTCTAGAGACTCTATGAGCCGCTCTAGAGATTATCTGAGCGGCTAAGCTTCTGTATTTACTCTCTTAGCGATTCAGCTACTCTAGAAATACTCTAATCCGTTCCGCTTCTCTAGAAGTTCTCTGCGACAACCATCTCCTCCAGAGATTTTCTGAGCTATTCGGTTCCTCTCGAGACTTCCAGTTCATCTAAATCCTCTATGAGCTGTTCAGCTCCTATGAAAACTCTCTAGAGACTATCTCAGGTGTTCAGCTTTTCCAGAGAGTATCATAGACGTCCAGCTCCTCATGGGATTCTCTGAGCCGTTCAGCTTCAGTGGTCCAGTTCCTATAAATACTCCCTAAGCTGTTCAGCTCCTGTGGAGACTCTCTAGTGACTTTCTGAGCAGTGCGGCTTCTGTAGAGACTATCTGAACCCTCCAGCTTCTCTAGAGGCTCTCTAAGCCGTTTACTTTTTAAAACGATCCTCCCAGGCTCCTAAAGACTCTCTAAACCGTATAGCTTTTCTAGAGACTCTCTGCGACGTCCAGCTCTCGTAGAGATCTCCTGACCCGTTAAGTTCTTCTAGGAACTCTTTGAGTGGTCCAGTTCCTCTAAATACTATCTGAGCTGTTCAGCTACCATGGCGACTTTCTAGAGACTCTCTGTGCCGTTCAACTTCCCTTTGACGTCCAGCTTCTCTAAAGGCTCTCAGAGCCTCTCAGCTCGTATGGAGACTCTTTAGAGACTCTCTGAGTCGTCTAGTTCTTCTAAAGACTATCGAAGCCGTTCATCTCGTATGACAACTCTTCAGAGACTCTCTGAGCCAGTCAGCTTCTTTAGCGCCTTTCTGAACTATTCAATTTAAAAAAAGACTCTCTGATGATTAAGCTTGGCTATAGCTTGCCTCAGGGCGACTGTAAAGACCCCTTAAGACTTTAGCGTGGGAATGAAGGCTCTCTGAGATTTCAACTCATCCAAGAAATCACTCAGCGTTCAGTCAATTTAAAGACCACCCAAGGCTTTAGCTCCCCTGTAACGACTCCCGATGCTAATCTACTACTCTTAAGACAGCTCGACTAGGGGGACTTCCTAAAACTTCAGCCTCATAAAAACTTTCTGATGCCTCAACTCATCTAGTGAGAATATCTACGGCTTCAGCTCACCTGTAAAGACTCTCTAATCATATTAAGACTCTCTGAGGCATTACGACGACCACAAAGACTATCCGAGTATTTAGCTCGTCGATAAACACTCTCGGAGCCTTCAACTTGTCTAAAATGACTTTATTAGACTTCATGTCCTCTTAAGAATACTTAAAAGCTTCAGATCTAACAAGTCCCAGAACCCTTCATCTCACCTAAAAATCCTGAAAAAAATCATTTCGTTTATAAAAAGTCTCTGAGGCTTCAATTGTTCTATAAGGGCTCCTTAAATCTTCACAAGTCTCCTTGAAAATTCAGAATTTTAATAACAACTCCCAGATCTCCATAATTCGCCTTTAAAAAAATACTCAAACACTTCTTCTCATTAAAAGGACTCCATAGCCCATTTAGCTCTTCGGAACACCTCAAAATATCTCTTAGACCATAAGCCATCTTTAAAACGAATTTCAGATCCTCCATTGTCCTTTGACCCTTTTAACTCATCTTGGAGACCTTTAGTACGCCTCCAATGCCCTCTGAATCTCTGCTACTTTGTTTTACATATTTTAACCTTCTTCCATATTTTTTGATTCTGCATTCATACTTTTGCTCCCTAGTGTCCTGTGCTTACATTTACGTTCACTTATATTTGTGTGAAGCTAACTTTTACATTCACAATGCCAACAAAAAAAAAAGAGTAAGGATTCATGTGACTAACAAGGATTCAAGGCAGATGCAAGGCAATATCCTTAACACACACACACACACACACAAATACACACTCATACACAGATCCACATGCTGCCAGTAAACAACGAAATGTAACACATAATAGAATGCTGAGAACAAAATCTATATCCTATACCGTTCTTTTAAACCCTTCTACCCCTCCATCCTCCATATGCTCTAAGGTAACAGGATCCCTTTTTGGAGCGACTTGCTTTCGCTGTGTTGTACCTCTCCTTCATTCTTCGTGTGCCACATACATTTTGCTTTTAGCTTTCAATTTTCATGTTGACGCTTTGCAATTCTTAAACGAACACAAGGCGTCTATTCACTGTTCGAATTCGGGCATAAAACAGGGCAGGATATTCCTTTTTTTTCCTCACTGGGCGAGATGGGTGCGGGCATGGATGGCTGTAAAGATGGTTAAAATCGGGGAAAAAGGAAACAAAATATGCCACAAAATAAAGCCGGTATGGTGTGTTAAACTCAATGAAAATGGATGCTCTATAAAGTCCTGGACACACACACACACCTTGGGAAAGCCCAAAACCTGTATTGCAACTCTTACAAATGCCTTACAAAAATCAGGCAACAGCCTTCTGGGCCTTATTCTTAATCTGCACCTATTCTACTCACATGTGTGCACGAGTGTGTGTGGGTTCGTGTATGTGTGTTCGTGTGTGTGTGTTTGTAATGCAGAACTGAAGGAAAATCAACAGAGAAAAAGCAAAAGTCCTGAAATGAATAAAAAACGAGAGAGGATCTATAAAAAGAAACTCCATGAAAATTTGTGCCAACGACCAGTAGTAACACGAAATATGCAATAAATGTAAATATTAAAAATTCACACATACAGACACATGCACTCTCACTCACACACACACACACATCCAGGCAGGAAAAAGGAGTAAAGGCTTACATACCAAGAAGGCAAAGGAGAAGCTGTATAAGTCGCAATAAAAACAGAAAAGTGCAACTAGGAAGTTTAATTTTTTATATGCCATCATCATAAATGCATTGCCAGCCAGTCGGCCAGCCTGGCATTCAGTCAGTCAGTCAGTCCGTCATTCAGTCAACCAGCCATTCAGCATTTCTGACAACTTAAGACACTGACAAAATGAAAAACTATTCCAAAGAAAAGAGAAAATTCTTATGTTTATTTAACAAAGTAGAGCTGCTTTTTCTCTTTGCTTTTCCTCTTTACCGACAGGGGTAGGGAAGGGGGAGCGGGGAAGAGCTTGAATGAAGGAGAGTGAAAAGACTGTCCTATATAAGTTTTTTTTTCTTCATTTGATCAACTTTATAAGCTTTATGATTTTGAATTAACGTATTTCCTATGATGTTGTTGCTTTTTTGTTGCCATTGT